TAATAACTACCAATACTGGTATGTCTGACCTTGGTCTGGTCTGTGATAATAACTACCAATACTGGTATGTCTGACCTTGGTCTGGTCTGTGGTAATAACTACCAATACTGGTATGTCTGACCTTGGTCTGGTCTGTGATAATAACTACCAATACTGGTATGTCTGACCTTGGTCTGATCTGTGATGATAACAACCAATACTGGTAAGTCTGACCTTGGTCTGATCTGTGGTAAATAATAACTACCAATATTGGTATGTCTGACCTTGGTCTGATCTGTGATAATAACTACTAATACTGGTATGTCTGACCTTGGTCGGGTCTGTGGTAATAACTACCAATACTGGTATGTCTGACCTTGGCCTGGTCTGTGGTAAAAACTACCAATACTCGTATGTCTGACCTTGGTCTGGTCTGTGATAATAAATACCAATACTGATATGTCTGACCTTGGTCCGGTCTGTGATAATAACTACCAATACTGGTATGCCTGACCTTGGTCTGGTCTGTGGTAAATAATAACTACCAATATTGGTATGTCTGACCTTGGACTGGTCTGTGATAATAACTACCAATACTGGTATGCCTGACCTTGGTCTGGTCTGTGGTAATAACTACCAATACTGGTATGTCTGACCTTGGTCTGGTCTGTGGTAATAACTTCCAATACTGATATGTCTGACCTTGGTCTGGTCTGTGATAATAACTAACAATACTGGTTTGTCTGACCTTGGTCTGGTCTGTGGTAATAACTACCAATACTGGTATGTCTGACCTTGGTCTGGTCTGTGGTAATAACTTCCAATACTGGTATGTCTGACCTTGGTCTGGTCTGTGGTAATAACTACCAATACTGATATGTCTGACCTTGGTGTGGTCTGTGGTAAATAATAACTACCAATACTGGTATATCTGACCTTGGTCTGGTCTGTGGTTATAACTACCAATACTGGTATGTCTGCCCTTGGTCTGGTCTGTGGTAATTAATAACTACCAATACTGGTATGGTTGACCTTGGTCTAGTCTGTGGTAATAACTACCAATACTGATATGTCTGACCTTGGTCTGGTCTGTGGTAATTAATAACTACCAATACTGGTATGGTTGACCTTGGTCTGGTCTGTGGTAATAACTACCAATACTGGTATGTCTGACCTTGGTCTGGACTGAGTTAATAACTACCAATACTGGTATGTCTGACCTTGGTCTGATCTGTGGTAATAAATACCAATACTGATATGTCTGACCTTGGTCTGGTCTGTGGTAATATAACTACCAATACTGTGGTAATAACTACCAATACTGGTATGTCTGACCTTGGTCTGGTCTGTTGTAATAAATACCAATACTGGTATGTCTGACCTTGGTCTGTTCTGTGGTAATAAATACCAATACTGATATGTCTGACCTTGGTCTGGTCTGTGGTAATTAATAACTACCAATACTGGTATGGCTGACCTTGGTCTGGTCTGTGGTAATAACTACCAATACTGGCATGTCTGACCTTGGTCTGGTCTGTGTTAATAACTACCAATACTGGTATGTCTGACCTTGGTCTGGTCTGTGATAATAACTCCCAATACTGGTATGTTTGACCTTGGTCTGGTCTGTGGTAATAACTACAAATACTGGTATGTCTGACCTTGTGTCTGACCTTGGTCTGGTCTGTGGTAATATAACTACCAATACTGTGGTAATAACTACCAATACTGGTATGTCTGACCTTGGTCTGATTTGTGGTAATAACTACCAATACTAATATGTCTGACCTTGGTCTGGTCTGTGGTGATAACTAACAATCCTGGTATCTCTGACCTTGGTCTGGTCTGTCTACCAATACTGGTATGTCTGACCTTGGCCTGGTCTGTGGTAATAAATACCAATACTGGTATGTCTGACCTTGGTCTGATCTGTGATAATAACTACCAATACTGGTATGTTTGACCTCGGTCTGGTCTGTGGTAATAACTACAAATACTGGTATGTCTGACCTTGGGCTGGTCTGTGGTAAATAATAACTACCAATATTGGTATGTCTGACCTTGGTCTGGTCTGTGGTGATAACTAACAATACTGGTATCTCTGACCTTGGTCTGGTCTGTGGTAATAACTACCAATACTGGTATGTCTGACTTTGGTCTTGTCTGTGGTAAAAACTACCAAAACTGGTATGTCTGACCTTGGTCTGGTCTGTGGTAATAACTACCAATATTGGTATGTCTGACCTTGGTCTTGTCTGTGGTAAATAACTACCAATACTGGTATGTCTGACCTTGGTCTGGTCTGTGGTAAATAATAACTACCAATACTGGTATTTCTGACCTTGGTCTGGTCTGTGGTAAATAATAACTACCAATACTGGTATGTCCGACCTTCGTCTGGTCTGTGGTAAATAATAACTACCAATACTGGTATGTCTGACCTTGGTCTGGTCTGTGGTAAATAATAACTACCAATACTGGTATGTCTAACCTTTGTCTGCTCGTCCCACACCATCTTGCTTCTCTTCTTGTTCTGTATTCCCTTCATTTGGGCATACTCCTCCCATTTTGTGAAGGCTCTAGCTTTGGGCACCTATATAACAGCAACATACACGAATAAAACTTAGCAGACAGCTGGTTGTATTGCAGGGAATTGCTTTTATGCATATATGTAGTCAAGTCAAGTCAAGTAATCCAATAACTGGGCAATATTTGGTCAAACTTGTACTTGATGACATTTGTTATTGCATTACTGATGTAGCTTAAAATCAAATAATTGGAAGCAGTTTACATGTCACTTCTAAAAATAAAAAAAAGGCTGATGATCCCAGAGGTGAAATGGAAAATGTTTAGATGTGTTCTGGATACAGAATTACTGGGATGCAGCCTTTCCAGGTCATGTAAATCAACTTCCAACAATATGTGACAGATTCAAACGACTCATACACCATATTGTGTAGCTTTATTATTAATTTCCAACTCTGACCGACAGAATGTGGGCAAGTTGACAAGTCTGAGTAAATCATTATAGCAAGCTTCTTACCGGTCTTCCTCTTGGAATCAAAACCTTGGTATCAGGTAACTGCAAGATACAGCAAAAATATTACTGATATATTTTCTAACATTAAAATATCATAAATATTATAGTAGTATCACAGAATGGTTTTATATATGTACCAACACGATTTAAGCATTTTCAAGGTGGTATGACCATACATGATGTTTTTGAAGACCCACAGATATTCAGAAGGGCAAACAATTAATGGCTTATATCAAAACATCAATATTAAATTACTAACAAACTTCCATTAATGAATTATAATTTCAATCTAGTAATCCCTGATATTGTATCCCTGATATTGTATCCCTGAATCCCTGATATTGTATCCCTGATATTGTATCCCTGATATTGCCTAACCTTGATTGCAATGACTACTCCAACCATTAATGTTGTATCAATTGTTCCTCAACCAATTCCTTGCTACTATAACATTATCTTACTTTGACCAATACCACACCAACAACTGATGTCTTACCTTGACCAATACCATACCAACAACTGATGTCTTACCTTGACCAATACCATACCAACAACTGATGTCTTACCTTGACCATTACCACACCAACAACTGATTTGTTACTTTGACCAATACCATACCAACAACTGATCTTACCTTGACCAATACCATACCAACAACTGATGTCTTACCTTGACCATTACTACACCAACAACTGATGTTTCACCTTGACCAATACCACACCAACAACTGATGTCTTACCTTGACCAATACCACACCAACAATTGATTTTTTACCTTGATAAATACCATACCAATGACTGATGTCTTACCTTGACCAATACCACACCAACAACTGATGTGTTACCTTGACCAATACCACACCAACAATTGATTTTTTACCTTGACCAATACCATACCAATAACTGATGTCTTACCTTGACCAATACCACACCAACAAATGATGTCTTACCTTGACCAATACCACACCAACAACTGATGTCTTACCTTTACAACAACCACTCCATCTTCTTTTTCTGTTGGCAACTAAAACAATTAAAACACATTTATTCAGAAATATTCTAAAATGTGGTTCATTTTTGCTTTAGGAGGTGTCATGTCAGAATTTTTAGTTTTTTTGATACTGATGCCAGAGTTAAATTTGCTGATTGTTCATAAACATGGGGATGTTTCCTTTGCCTCCAGGGTTCTTGTTTAATCAATTGCTAAATCTGTTTTCTACATGACTAAATTTTTAAATATGTTTAGTCTGTTATTGCTCTATTGACTTAAGGATTACCGACAGTAGTCTACTAGATAGCTGTTGAGACAGATAGGGAGAGAGTTATGAAGCAGGCCAGAACTCTAAAGCTTGTACCTGGTAATAGTTATTTATGTGAATTCCTCTGATATATAAATCTCACCTGAAATATTCTGTTAATAAGCAATTGGGCATTATCTCTAGCTAAGTCTTTCAAACATACATCCCTCTTAGATCTGAAAAAGAAAAAGAAATGTATACATTTATATCTGAAATTGTATTTTACTAACCATTATAATCCTTCCGCATTTAAGCAATTTTGGTCTCTGTGGAGTATAAGATATAGATGTATAGATAGAATGTTTTACTAATTATGAGGACAAGTTTGATCCTCGTTTAAAGAAGTCTATTATTATTATTATTATCAATATTGTGTGGCATTTGATGATTTTTACCAAAATACAGTGTTGATCAGAACTGAAACTAAATTATGCATTTATTATTGACCAACCCTTAAAGTACCATTAGAACTATATTAGTATTAGAGATTCTTATAAATAATGGGTACAGGAAGAATTTTGTCATAAAACTGTTTCTGAGCTACCAAATTGAAATTGAGATTTTTTAAATTTGAAAAACAACATGATTTTGTGAGTTCATGCATTTTCCATGCAAATTCTTTGTGTTTTTATCATATGACAATCACTGTTGGTAAATGTAACATTTTCTCAAAATCTCAGTACACACATAACTATTTTTAAAGGTTGATTATCAGATATTTATTACAAGATCTAAATACTGTCGAGCATATGTTGATAGACCATTCAGAGTTCAAGTTGGGTCAGATATTAATTTCAAACACTGAAACATACTGTTTATGTTTGACAAAATACTTTTGAAAAGTGAAACAACAGAAACAACTGATTATTTGAAAGACTGTTTTTTATTATTTTTATCTGTGACTGTTCAAATTTAATTGGATACGGACATCAATAATTTCACTATCAATTAGATGCCATAAGATGCAGTATCTATAGGTAACAATTTTATTGACCTATTAAATTTAATGAAGATGATCACAAAAATATCACACAAATAATCATCGAAAACTTTTTGAAGATAATACAACAAATAAAATATTTAACTAAAATTAAAATGTAACTTTACTTGTCTATAAGACGAAGCTCTAATGCGTAAGAATTCTCTATTACGTGATAAATTCATCGCCATACGAGAAAACGTTACAAATAGTTAGCATATGCCCCAAGGCCAAGACAGCGCCGTCTATCAACAAACAGATTTTTGGTCCGAACTATACAGCGGGCTAGTAAAATAACATATCTTACTTGTATTTTCTGATGTCGAACGGATTTGTATCAACAGCAAGCAAGTTTCCCTCGTCAATTTCAAGATCTATATCTTTAGTAACTTCGATTGTTTTATAATTTGCTTGTTTCTCTATCTCTTTCGCAAGCACTTGCTCCACGAGGTCTGCCATGTTCCAATATCTACTTCCTACAACCGAAGACACGTGGAATTTGATTGGTTGGTGATTTTTCAAGCATCCAATCAAAACACTTCTGTCAATGGTAGGAAGAACATGTCTGTCGCCTGTGGTATGAAGTGAAAATGACACTCTACAGAAAATGCCGATGAAATACTGCAACCTCTGGTTTTAAGTTAATTTTATTCGTCGGAAGTGGACAAGATAAAACAACACAATGTTGAAGCGGGAGAATCTGAGGAAGAATTTCCTCCGTGTGAAGCAAATGGCGGATCAGAATTTGGGAAGGTGGGGCATTTTTCAGAGTTTGTGTTCTGCTGTCAAAATTTAGCTACATGTATCTAATATTACAATACTGACCGCTGTAACAGTGAATTTACAGTTAATTGCCATGTCTTTTTGTTTATCTAATGTTGATCTCAATCCACTGTAGATGATCCTTTCTGAGTGTCATCAGTGAACTTTAATGGTGTTGATGTTGATTATAAAAATACACTCCATAAATCAAGCTTACCAACAGTTACAGAAAGCTGGCCTGCATCCAACCACCTGATATTTATCTTCTTTTAAGTTGTACACTTGTAGCTGACCAGGACTGGGTCATGCCACCAATCACCATGGTCCAATAATTATATAACCTGGAGTCTGTTTAATTTCCAGATAAATATACCAATGGCATAACATAGGATCTCATAGGTCTTCAGGTCAGGTTTTGTTGAAGGAATATAAAGGGAAAGTAGTTGAACTGATAAGACTTAGTAATCATTTACAACCTTCAGCTATATATCCAATCTAGGTGGAGTTCACCAAGCCATGCATACAAACCCTAATAGTCCATTTATATTACCCTGATTTTTGTTTTCAAAATAAGCAAAATAATAGCTGTCACCATATTACATATAGCTTAGGTTATCTTAGAAATAAGTAGATACATAAGACTGTGCAAGTATAAAAGATAAAAAAAAAATGATGGGAGGGTTAAAGCTATACCCTGATTGTTTGAATCTGTTTTAGAATCTTCATTTGTTCCCAAACATTATTTGCATGATACTGACATATCAATACAAAGGATTTAAAAATTATAAGCAATGTAAGTCTTCATTTCAGAGGACTTTCATTTTAACCAAGCTTTCCACAATTGAAAAAGTTTGATATGATCTGAATCAGAAGGAGGAAGTCTCATTTTTCAAATGTGTGTGCAGGGGAAGTGGGGTTTGTTGGTGTCACGTACATGACACATGTAATATATGTTCTTTTGCCTTCATTGCAATTTCCTCTTTTCTTTGATTTCCCTTCACACTCTTATTTGTGGTATGAATTTACATCTGACATATGTAATGATTATCCAAGAAGTGGAATTGTTTTTGCTTATTGTCAATGACCGTTGTTTTTGCTCATTGTCAATGACCGTTGACTTGTAATCTGTTAATTAATTGTACTAGTCTTGACTCCAGATAGTCTGGATGTTGCTGCTACTTCATGGTACATTTATATTATATAAAATTAATCTGTGTATCGTTGATAATTAAAAATACTCAAAACTGAGACACTCTGTATCTACTGTATATATTGTTAATCAGCATAGCTTTGTTGCAGTATTTTCTGTATAAACTACAATGGTACTTTTTCAAGAGAAATTCTGTCATTTTTATGCTCCCATCTTTTTATGGAGGGGCCGGGTGCCATATAGTGTTACAAAATTGTCTGTTCCATCATATTCTCTGTCATGTCATGTCATGTCACAGTTACTATTTGTAGGCCAGCACAGGGGCAATAGGGTATCTACGGTATTGAAGGTCTGAGACCAATTTTATTGATAAAGGAAACAAATACAACTTTCCTTTGAAGAATTTATGAATCGATCAGATGTTATGGCGGTGTCTAGATTTGCCGTCCAAATATATGTAACTCTTCAAATAAATGTACTTTAATCAGCTAATATTCTTAAGTCTATTAGTATCTTAAATACTTGTTATATACTTTTTATTTATAAACCGGTATTTTATATCGGGTGGTTGGGGTGGCACAGTAGAAATTGCACTTTCCTTTCAATAAGATGACGAGGGTTGATTCTCCGATTGCAATTTGAAAAGTATTTGATCGCCGTCACAAACACCGGAGGTTTCTCCAGGTAAAAGACTAAAACATCCTTATTTATGAAAGTTTCTTTATTTTAAATCTAGCAATATGTTGCAGTTGCATTTTCATCTGAAGCTGAAAATTAAAAAAGAAGAAATATTCTTGTTCAAGTTGTTGGAGAATTGGGAATTAAGGCTGAATTTCAGTCCAAAATGGCCCAATGGCCCAAGGAAAAGCACTGATTTATTTTCAGTTTTAACTAGCTGTACTGTTCTGTTGTTAAATCCTCAGACCTCACAACTTGCATTTTCTATCGTTTACTGATCTGTTGACAAGGTATGATGACTATCAATGTATACCAGCCTTACTGTGACTGCATGTTTCGGCATGTACAGCTTAATAAATGATGTGTAATTTAAACCTAGCTTATAATATACAAAATGTTCAGCTGCATTTTAAAACTTTGGTATTTATTCTAATTGTCATTTCAAAGACATATTTGTAAGTTACAATCCTGTGGATGTTGACTGTGTATATTAAAACACATAAGTTATAACCTTAAGTATAATCTGCAGTTGTTGCAGGGCCTGAAGCTAACTTTTTTTTCACTTTCAAAAGTTTTGCAGGTGAGTAAGAAATCCACCTTTTTTGTTCAATATACATTTTTGCTCAATATACATAACTAGACATGGAAATAGATACTTAAAGTTAAATTATGCAATGAATTTATTTTTTAGCTGCGAAAGGTAAACTTAACTGTAAGTGTAAATTTTGAAGCATATGTTGATCATGACTGTCTCTTCTTTACACATTTGTCTTACACAGTTTCATTTTGCACAAAGGAGCAACTGGGTTTTTCCATCTCCATAGGTAAGATAAATATACCTGTCACTGTACATGTATTTCTTCCTTTCCTGTGAAGCTGATTAAATGTATCTAATTCTGAGGACAACTTAACCTGTATGAGTTACTGATTTGAAATGTACAGTTGTATACAGAATTGTATCAAAATAAGCATTAACAATTCTGTGTATAGTGAACTTTTATATTTTTAGCACATTCTAGCATGGTTGGTTGAACATTCATACACAAATAATTGCTTTATCATAGTGTTATGTTATGTTAAATGTCTATATATAAAATCTCTCAAACTATTGGTACAGTATATGATATTGATAATGTATATATAATTATCATATGCATATGTAATGTACACTTGTATAATATCAACAAAGATATGGGAGAACTTTTTCCCTTTTTGACAGACAAGGAAATTGTAGCCCAGTTAGCAAATGTATAGATGTGTTAAGAATTGGTGTATGTCGTCGGTCATGAGTAGATACTAGTATATCATTATATTATAAACTCAGGCATAAATGTTCTATATATGTAAAACGTAATGTGTAATATCATTATTGTGATGTCACAAGGAACAGTAGGATGTCTTTACAAATTTCTTTTGAATGCTGCTACAGTCTAAATAGTATCAATAAACAGTATAATTGTGTGTGCTATGGCATAATTGAACATTGGATAAAAAGAATATCAGATTTGTTGCAATCCATGTGAATTTGTTTAATGTCTATAAAGCTTGTTGTTTCTGTAATGGGAATCTTTGTGATCTTCCAAGTCCAGACACTATAAAAGATTACTATCAGGGGGGGGGGGGGAATCATATTAACTTTATTATCGATATAACGTATCAAGTTACAAACAAAAGCTGATAATGGATTATACTATAATGTTAACCCACATGCTGTCACTTGTCCCATTTTATACATGTACATACACACTCCTCCCTCCTTTACTCACATGCTTTATTATACGTGGTAGGTGTCAATTACAGATGATCTTAATGGAAATATAATATCTTAAAGAAACAAGAGGGTACAACCATTATTAATTGTTTCGTTATACATCTTTTAAAGAATTTGTTTTGGAACATACAATTCAACATTGCCAAAGAAAACTAGTCTGCTATATACTGACCCAGGAAAGGGATGTAGGTAATGTGGGTGGTGATTACATAGATTAGTGGACAAACCATGTCCAGGTGGGTAGGTGATGGATGGTCACACTGTATAGACCACAAACCTGTTGATGAGTCAGTACCAGTGGTGACTCAGGCTGCTGGTATATTGTAAATCAGTGCTATAGCTGTGTGTATTATATAGTAAACATTCACTGATATTAAAAATTAATGTACCAAATTGGCAAAAGTTTCCATGACAATTTTAAGGGGGTTGAGGGCCTAAAGTTTTGTCCATGTCTGTCCCAACCTTTTCTGTTGCATTCCTAATTCCTCAATCATTAGCATTGCTCTACTGAATATATTTCTGAACAGTTTTTGATCAAACTTTATATAAAGGTCAAGTATGAGAATGTTTAGAATGAGTTCCTCCTTCAAGGTTACAAGCTTAAGGTCATGGCCAATACGACCAAATATTTATTAGATTTAAGAAAAAAAACACCCTTATCAATGTGCATGGTTACAGGGACATTCATGTCTTACAGAAATTTTCTAGTTTTGGTTTAATGCTTCTGAACTGCTAAACATCTAATGAACACATATGTGTATGTGTGTTCAAAAATATCTATATGTTCATCATCCTAACAACCAGTGTGGTGTCTTTTGCCAGATGGCAGTTACATGTAGTGGAGATCATGATCATTGGTGGTCTGATCTGCTGGATAACCAAACTACTGGGTAGTGAAGCCGACATAAAACCTCTCAAACAAACAAGCAATCACGGTCAGAATCAAAGTAAAGGTCAAAGTTGAGAGGCTAGGAATTCTATTTGACAGACGTACATGTATATGCAGTTGTATAAAAAAAGTATGGTAAAAGTTCTAGACCAATTCTGCTTTGATGTTTTAGAAAATGGCAAAAGCAAGAAAAGATATTTTTGGGCAGAGTGGTTACAACTCTCCAGCCTTCCATGCATGGTCAGAGTTCGATCCCCGAAGTTGTCATACGCATGGATATTCAGAAAGTGTTTTTCTCTTGCCCACACAACTCCAACAACCCAGGTGGAGTATAAAATGGTCTGGGGTGGATGTTGCAGTACCTGTGCTGTAGCATTCAAGTGAGGTGGCACTATAAATGATACCGTTGGAAGCTCGGTGCCAATACAAACAGAACACAATACATCTCCAGCACACACGCAGGCATACACATAGGGAGATATTAGCCAGGTGGCATAGGACTA